CCTTGTTATTCTCCTGTAGTTATATATTAGAGAGGTAAATCAATTTGATAGTTTGTGTATTGTTATGTAGCAATAGTGGTTAAGCCACAACATTCCTAGAACATTCATTTGCAACAGTTTTATCACAGTTTTCTGCATAGCTGTTAATATGCCGGCTGTTGGTTTAGCCACATATTAGAAGTAACCTAGTTCGCGGCTAGGTGAGCAGGTATCCTTAGGTAGGGCGTGTAGGTAGGGCATAGGTAAGTGGGTCAACATCTGGTGCATGATCGTGACGGCGTCCAACGCAGGGGCAGTAAGGGCCTACCGGTAGCGGATAGCAATTAGCATACCGCGTGGCAGCACCGTAGCGAGCATAGGCAAGCGCCCGTAAGTCCCCTGCACGTACTCGCGCCGGGCGCGGATCCTTCCCCTCAGGACCCCGATGCTAGGTCAGAAGGGCCTATGACCTGGTGAAGAGCCAGATCGTAGGGGGACAGGAAGCCGCCTCCGGCACGACACATCCCTTCGGCAATAATGACAATTATCGCCGAAGGGATGAGCGGTATTATTGATGATCTTAGTAATTTTATCCGAAAGGCTTCTTTGTTATATAGGACTTGTTTGTCCTTATTCTCATTTAGATTATCTAGTATGGAAAAGGAAAACCGTTTACCAATACATTTATCATTGAAGTGCTTATATACAATTTATCAGAATCATTTTTGTAGATGTGATAGCAATGTTCTCTGATCCTGTTCTTGAACTGTCTAGTAGTTATTCCTACATATTGAAATCCACATTCTAAGCAGTTAAGGCTATAAACTAAATTAGTACTACAACAGCTCGTTTGGTTGTTAAGCCAAGTGAATATTTTCAAGTTAGTGCTATTACATATGATATGTTCATTTTTATCTATTATTTTACATTTAGTGTATTTGTTATTGCAGTTAATAGGACTTATAGTGTTACCAAAGTTGTCTAGTTCATTTATGTTGTTAACCCTGCTTTTGTGAAAGACTTGAGTATAATAATAACTGATGGAACTGACATTACTGGTAGCGGGCCATGTAGGAAGTATGTGGAGGGCCCGACCCTTATACCAGGGGGAAGTTTAAAGGGGTTTGCCCTGGGCACTTGCAAGCCAAGAGAAAAACGTTATTCGAAAAAGAAGTGTTTGTAGAATTTGTTGGCTCTTTTAAGGGCGTGGAACCTACCCCCAAGCTGGAACCACTTTTGTAACCCTATCAAAAAAGCCCCTATTTTTAAAGAGGTATGCCCACATGTTTGGAAAATTAAAGAAAGGTCTAGTAAAGAGAGGAAGTAGAAGTGAGTAATTGTTTTAAAGTATGAGTGAGTATATAGTAGTATGAGTGAGTAGCGAGTATGAGTATGGAGTAAACATAATATTAAAGGATTGTAAAAGAGGAAAGTTTTTTAAAAGAAAATAATAGGTGCAGAAATATTTTATAAAGGTTATGCAGGGTATAATCACACAAACCAAACACTTATAGTCCTATATCAAAATTGTGTGGATGTATTACAGGCGCAGAGACAACAACAAGGTAAGTTGACTTTTCAAGAAAACGTAAATCGACGTGTATTGTTGGGGTGGGTGCGCATAACAGGATTGGAGAATAAACAGCACTGGAAATACGACAAACTTTTGGCACATTTAGCTAATGTCATTACCGGGTGAGATTTTAAAATGACTGTTGTGTTTATTTTAATCAATATAGGTGTTTAACTGATTGATTTGACGATAGATATCCGAGCGATGGCAAACCTAATGCTTTTACGTGGCCTACTGCGGCTGGTGTGAGTGGTGGCTTGGAGGGCATGAGAGTAAGTATTAGGTTTGCCATCGCTCGGATATCTATCGTCAAATCAATCAGTTAAAC